GCCACCAAATGAGAAGGGAGCACTCACTGGAGAAGACCCTGATGCTGGGAAAGACTGAAGGTCAAAGAAGACGGGGACGGCAAAGGATGAGATGGTTGGACAGTGTCATGGATGCAACGAACATGAAATTGAGCCAACTTCAGAGGACGGCGGAAGACAGGAGGGCCTGGCGGGAGCTGGTCCATGGGGTTGCGAAGAGTCGGACTCGACTCTGCGACTGAACAAAAACAAACAAACAAACAAACAAACAAACTGATGACCCTGTCCTCTTTTGGGGTTAGAAGGTTAGGAATATTCCAGTTATCACATCTTAAATAATAAGGGCACTTGTGTTTCAAAGGAGATTTGTCATAGTGATCACTTGTTTGAAGTAGTCTCAGTCAGGAACAATGCTCCGTCTAAGCTGTGGAGTCCTGTGAGCAAAAATTCTACTTTGTGAGCTGCTGGCATTGAAGTTGTGAGTGAACGATTTGGCTTCTGCATAAATTAGTTTGCTCTGGAGCCCTCCTTCCTGAGCTAAGACAAAAATGTGTGAGCTGGAGGCTAAAAAACTGTGAGCTAGCTCACACTAACTCAGCTTAGAGGAAACACTGGAGCCATCCTCCCTGAGCTAAGACAAAAACATGTGAGCCAGAGGCTAAAAAACTGTGAGCTAGCTCACACTAACTCAGCTTAGAGGGAACACTGGAGCCCTCCTTCCTGAGTTAAGACAAAAATGTGTGAGCCAGAGGCTGAAAAACTGTGAGCTAGCTCACACTAACTCAGCTTAGAGGGAACACTGGAGCCATCCTCCCGGAGCTAAGACAAAAACGTGTGAGCCAGAGGCTAAAAAACTGTGAGCTAGTTCACACTAACTCAGCTTAGAGGGAACATATGTCCTCTTTTTTTACGTTTCAAAATACGGTATAACCCTACCGTTTGCACCAGCCACCCCGCTAAGGAGGCGACAATTGTGAAGCCTGCAAAAGTTCCCATTCCCACCTGGGAACGCCTGTTTTCAGACTCGCCACCACCACCTCCGAATTAGCAAGGGCGACATACGATCCCCCCGCCTCCCCGCGCCTCCCGCTTTCTCTAAGCCGGCCTCCGAGGAGGCCTGTTCCTCTGCAGCCACCAGAGGGCTCTGGGTAGCGCTCGGGGAAGCGCAAGCGGCTCTTTCCTCTTTCTCTCGGCTCGGTGTTTCCTGCGCTCGGGGCCGCGGCGGGCTTTGAGCTTCCTGGGTGACGCGGATGCAGCTACAGCTGCAGAGAGAACCGAGCCCGATCAGCTGCTGCCAGCCCCGGTGGGATCCATGCCAGCCTGTTGGGCAGACTTTTCCTACGGACGCGGCGCTCCCTTTCTTTGGCTCGCCAAGGTGGGAACCGGCCCGGCTTGCGCGACGCATTTCCCGGGAGGACCAGCGCGTTACTGATGCGCGCTCAGGTTGAGATGCCAGGAGATGGGGCGGGGAAGAGGGGTGGGGTTGTCATCCATCCCCCGGCAATCCGATCCCGCTGCTCGATCCCTGCCCACCTTCGAGGCGATGACAATAAGGACGCTGGTTCTCCAGGCACAAATGAACACCAATGAGTTGCCCCTCAGTATTGTTTCTCTCAGGACGGGAAAGTGATGGGTGTGTCCCCCCCCCCCCTATTTTCCAGTGCATGCTTATGAATGAAAACTGGATTCAAGTCCGCATTCGTGGCTGTGACTACAACCCCAAGGAGTGGCGTTTACTCTGGATGAAATGGCGTGGAACCATAAGGGAACGATCTTCTGAGGTTATGTGTCTTGATGTCTTTTCACTACCCCGACAGGAATGTATTCCTCCCTCCCCCCCCCTTTCATACCAAAGATCACTAACAGAGCATGCACTGTACAGACATATCTGTACAGTGTGCAGATTTATGTAGGACATTTATTTATGTAGGGCATTTCTCTGATGCCTCTTCAGAGTGCCACTCAAGGCACCTTATAGTTAAAATGGTGTAACAATATAAAAACAAGCCATTGGACAGAAACACCATTAAAACTATCTATAAAACCAAAACAGACCATTTGAAAAGATGGCGAGATAAAACCTCTAAGGAAACACCTGAGTTAAAAGATGTGTTTTGGCTTGGCACCTGAACACACCTGAACGCATGAAGCTGCCTTATACTGAATCAGCAGCACTCCAGGGTCTCTTCAGACCAAGGTCTTTCACATCACCTCCCACCTGATCCTTTTACCTGGAGATGCTGTGGATTGAACCTGGGATCTTCTGCATGCCAAGCAGATGCTCTGACGCTGAGCCACAGCCCCTCCACCTAAAAGAAATTAAAGTAGGCATCAGGGAGGGTGTTCCAAAGGTGAGATGCCCTGACTCTAGTCCAGTGGTGGCGAACCTATGACACGGGTGCCAGAGGTGGCACTCAGAGCCCTCTCTGTGGGCACGTGTGCAATCGCCCCAGCCAGGCCCAGACCATCATTAAAGTGTCGAATTCTCTGCCAAATAATTTTAAGTAAATGAAAGCAGTTGGGATTGCTTTCCTTACTTTGTTTGGATCATCTTAAGTTAATGTATGAGTTGTTTTTTTCTAAAGTAAAACCTCAGTATTCAGGTTAAATTGCCGTGTTGGCACTTTGCGATAAATAAATGGATTTTGGGTCCCAGTTTGGGCACTCGGTCTCTAAAAGGTTCGCCATCACTCGTGTCCAAGTCATATCTGAAGGTTTGTGAGTGAAAACAGGGCTGGCATCTGCATTCATGGTTGTGACTACAGCCCCAAGGAGTGGCATTTGCTCAGGATGAAGGGGCACAGACCAATAATCCAGTTTTCATTCATAAACATGCAGAGAGCAGGCCGTAAGAGGCAGATGCTACCTGGCAGGCTGGACAGCACAGGAGATGGTCCTTCAGATACCCTGGCATCAGGCAGGTTAGGACCTTAAAGCTAAGAACCCTCACTTTGAATTGCGCTCAGAAACATGGGTTACAGGTGCAGAGCTTTCAGCACAAGAAATTGCTGAATATTCTGTTGGTTGTAAGCTGTATTCATTTGTTCTGCAACAGCCTGTTTCTGCTGATTTAAAAGCCAAGATAGTGCTTGTTCCTTTGGAGATATATATCCTAAATCTGTGTTTTTATGGTATGTTTTATGGTATGGTAATTCAGAACAAGCTGTGAAGAATCGCTGGAGGAATGGGGAACCTGTTTGGAAATCCTACCATGTCTCTCAAAATCTCCTCTCAAGGAATCCCTACATTTTTAGACAGTTGACC